CATGTCAGTCGCACCGGCGGCCAGGATGCCTCCGACGCTGACAGTCATCTCCATCGTCACCTCGCCGTCGTCCGGCTCGTCTTCGGCGGCGGCGTGCCTCGTCCTGCTCCAGCAGGCTGGACAGCGGTGCGGGCGCCGCCAGACCCGCCCCCTCCTCCGCCTCGAGCAGCCCGGCGAGGGAGCTGACCGGGGAGGCTGCCTCGCGCGGCGAAAAGAAGACCTCCGAACCCTCCGAGCAGGCCGGGCTCACGAGGCCGCCTGCCGGGACCGGGTCGGGAGGCGCTGGGGCCGCAGCCGGGGCTGCAGTCGTGGCCGCGGCTGCGGTACGCCGCGGCGAGGAGCGGACCGGCGCGCTTTGCGGCGCTGCCGCCGCCGCGCGTTGCGGCTGCAGTGGCGACGGCAGCGTCGGCTGAGGCGGCGAGGGCGCCACCGGCGCGGCGAGCGCGCTGCTCGCCGCTGACGACGGCCCCGCCGCCCCATCGAGGAGGGAGATCGAGGCGCGCCGCGAGCGCGTGTTCATCGCGGGCGACATCGCCTCCCCCTTTGCAAACTCTTTGATCGAGACGGTGTTCGAGAAGGACACGCGCTTCGCCGACATGGACGACTTGCGCGCCTTCTTCTTGGCAGGAGCCGGCGAGTTCTCCTTGCCCCACGCGGACGACGAGGCGGAACCCGGCGGCGGGGGCGGCGGCTGCGACATCATTCCGGCGAGACCGTTCGCCCGCGCTTTTGCTGCCGTTATTGAGCGATCTCTTTGAGTGTACTTGCGCGCAAAAAAGAATTCATGCCTCCTAGCGTGGGCGACGGCTAGCACCAACACACTACCATTAAAATCCCTGTGTGGTGGCGGCGTGCCGTCCTCCCATCCCTCCCTTGGGGTGTCTGTTTTCTTTCTTTCTAACACTACCCACGAAAAAAGAATTTTCGAAGGCCTTGTCAAAAAAGGAATTTCCGAACCCCGCCCCGTTCCCCTGCCCCCCCCCTATGCCTATCACTGTGTCTCACCTCGGCGCGGCGCCGCTGTAGAGCGGCTTGTAGCACGCCGGCAGGTACTCGCTGCGGCCGCCGGGCGGCACCTGGTACACGGCGATGTCCGCGGCGGCGAAGCAGCCCGCCTCGTCGGCCCAGCCGGGCTCGTTCAGGTCCGGATCGGAGAGGGCGTCGGAGAGGACGAGGCCGAGCTGCACGCCGGGCTGCACGGCGCCCTCCGGCAGCGCCTCGCCCGGCAGCGGCGCGAGCAGGAACTGGTACCCCTCCCCAAGCTCGTCCGGCGCGTCGGCGAGCGTGCCGAGCAGCAGCGCCACCGCCTGGCCGACGGCAGCGGGCTCGGCCACCCGCGCCCAGCGCCGCTCTTCCTCCGGCGAGGATCCTTCCGGCGCCGCGCCCTGGTCGGCGAGCGGCGGGAGGCGCCGGCTAAAGGCGGAGAGCCGCAGCCGCTCGGGAGGGCCCGCGCCCGCCCACGGCATCCAGGTCCCTCCGAGAGGGAGCGAGTTGAGGCCGCGGTTGTGCCAGCCGACGAGGCCGCCACCGCCGCCGCTGCGCCGCGTCACAACGGTCTCCACCGACGGGAAGAGGTAGAGAGGCACGCCGTCACGGAGCACCGCCCCGACCGCTAGCCGGCTGGATGGCAGCGGCAGGTCCTCCGGCAGCCAGAGCTGCTCAAAGCCGGCCGGGTAGACAAAGCTCGAGGGCACCACCTCGTCCGCCGCCGCCGCAGAGGCCACCGCCTCGGCCGCCGTCCCGGGAACGCACGTCACGGCGCCAGGCGAGGCCCACCAAATCGGCCACTTGCAGAGCGCGAGCGGAAGCGACTGCTTGCCGCCGCCCATGCCAGTGACGATGGAGATGGTGTTGCGCGTCGCGGACGGAAGCGAGACGCCCACGGAGAGTGCGAGGAGGGCGTGCATGTACAAGAATAGGATCCGGTGCGTGGAGCGGGATGGAGTCGCTAAGGCGGGGGTGTGTTCGCTCAATCACAGCTAACAACTCTAACACTCACACGTCATTTGGGGCCTGGAGCCCCTGTTTTGTGTAGTTTATGGTGGTTTAGAGTTTGCGGGGGGGGGGGCAGCTTTGGGCGGTCGACTTCAATTTTGGGGGGTTTACGACGGTTTTGGGGATCCTGCCGACGCGCTACAGTTGTAGTCCCACTGCACGCAAAATGGACACCGCAACGGGAGGGCACTCGCAGCAGGCGGGGCCGAATCCTGCAGCCTTAGTCGTGGCCCGATCCGGCGGCATGCCACGGGTAGGCGCGTTGAGGCTTGCCGCCTCCTCTGCGCCAACGCGGCCTGTGCCGCAGCTTGCGTTTGCCGCCAGACAAGAGGAGGAGCAGAGCCGTTTGGCGATAGGGCCAGGCAATCGCATTCGCCCCGTGGGCGTTGCGGACCCGAGCAATACCCAGGTCGAGGTTGCTGCGCCTCTTGGCGCAGTGACGCAGCATCGCACGCTTGTTGCGGGCGATGGAGCATCGACGGCAGCTGGAATCCTGGCTCTTCCGGATGCGGGTCCGGCGGCATTTGCGGCGGTGTCTTTGCAGCTGCGAGCGCAGCGCGGTCAGATACCGTCGGCCGCCGAATGGCGCACAATGCCGCAGCTGCGGCTGGAGTGGTGGCTGTGTCGGCATTGCAGAGACGTTGTCAACCACAACTCGGCCACGTCCTGCAGCAGATGCGCGTCGAGCGTCAGGGAGATGACGCCATATGCAAGTCCAGCCGAGGTCGCAGCCCTCTCAGCCAACGCACAGCGCACCGCGTATGGTCGGAGACTCAAAAGTGTGCAGGGAAAAGAGCAGCCTGTCGCTCTGGCTGTTGCGCAGACGCCGGGCAGCGCCGGCTATGCCAGCGCTGTCCTTGCCCAGATTGCGAGCTTTCAGCCTGGGTCGAAGCGGCTGGAGGCGATGGTGGAGCCTCGTGTTGGCCTTTTTGACGGATGGCTTGCGCTCACGACCGATGGGACTGTCAGATTTTGGACGCGCGACGATGTGCGGGCATTCTTTGCGTGCGGCGAGGGAGAGGCTCTCATCGCCGAGTACATTCTCTCGTGGGGAAGGCGTGTCGACATAGGCGTTGAGGGGCAGCCACTAGTGGTTCAGGCGGCGCCGAAGGGCGGGTGGTGGATGCGTACTCTCTCCTTCGTCAACGAGCGGCACCTCCACATCGTCCGCGCGCTGCTAGCACTTGTGCCCGACGGGGCCCAAGACGGGTTGCAGTGGGAGAAGCGCGTGCTGTACGGCCCATTCCCGGATGACGTGTACTCGGCATTGGCTGCCGTGACCGCCAGCATCTTCTCGACGATGGCGGTATACGAGCGTGGACCACGCGGGCGTGCTCGACGGGAGCGGGTCCTGGGCGTATCGCCTGACTGCCCGACTGTGGCAGCATTTGCGGACGCGGGCTTGCGCGTTCCGCGGCACGTGGTCGCCGCCCTTTGCAAGGGGGCAGGGTCGGTGGCGACGTCACAGCGACTGCTTTTACTCGAACGTGGGCGCACAAAGTCGCAGCTCCGCCGCTGCTTTTTCCTGCTGGAGGGGCTCACGCCGAGTGGTGTGCGAATGGCGCTCTTCCGAATCGACGGGCTTGGGCTGAGGTGGGCGCCTATGGCGACGTGCGAGCGCTCAGTGGCAGCGGCAGCAGAGGTGGCTACTTGGAAGTCGCAGCTGCTGCCAGAATTTGGGCTGCAGCCTCTCGAACTGTCGCACGAGACGGAGCACCAGCTGCCATTTTTACCGTTGGAGAAGCATACGTGCAGTGAAAGTGAGCTGTGCGACGAATGCGGCGGACGCGTACGGCGCTTGGGCGGGGGAAGTAGGCGGGCAAAGGCCAAGGCATCTGCGTCAGCGGCTCGCGTCGACTCGTCGGACGAGGACGACGATTATCTGCCTCCTTCCTTGGCCCTCAGTCGACGACCGCCGGCACCAGCACAGGCCCCAACAAGTCGGGCCGACTCGTCACGTACACCTATGCGCGGCACACCCAACCGCCGATTGCGCACTCTTGTAGAGCGTGCGGTCGACGCAGGTGCTCACTTGGGCCGCAACTTCGTGACGGGCATGACGTACGACATGAGTGGTGCCGAGGTTCCGTATGTCAAGACATCTCTCAAGGGCCTCGTTCAAGAGTTGCATAGCCACGCGCGCATGCACGCTGGCTCGGCGGTGGACCTTC